GTTGCTTCTGTATCTTGGCTACTGTAAATGAACATAGAATGCATATATCTTTTTTTAAAATATATTTTTATTGCTTTCAGAGAGGAAGGGAGGGGCGGAGAGAGAGATAGAAACATTAGTGATGAGAGAATCATTGATTGGCTGCCTCCTGCATGCCTCCCACTGGGGATTGAGTCTGCAACCTAGGCTCTATCCACTGAGCCAACCGAGCCAGGGCTGTATCTTTTTTAGTGATTTTGTTTTCAGATAAATACCCAGAAGTGGAATTGCTGGATCGTATGGCAGTTCTGTTTTTAATTTTGGGGGGATACTCCGTATTATTTTCCATAGCAGCTCCACTAATTTACAGTCCCACCAGCAGCGCATGAGGGCTCCCTTTTCTCCACATCCTGGTCAGCACTTGATTTGTTGATAAGAGCTAATAGCCATTCTGACAGGTGTGAGGTGATCATTCATTGTGGTTTTAGTTTGCATTACTGTGATGATTAGTGATGTTGAACATCTTTTCATGTGTGTTGGCCATCTTGGGAAAAATACCTGTTCAGGTCCTGACATGTTTTAATTTTTTATTTGGCGGGGGGGGGGGGGGGGTTGTTGTGGGGGGGGGGGGGGAGGTTGTTGTATGAGTTCTTTATATATTTTAGATGTTAAACCTTTATTAGATGTATCATTTGTGAATATCTTCTCGCATTCAGCAGGTTATCTTTTCACTTTGTTGGTGGTTTCCTTTGCAAGACTTTCTGATATATTACCATTTGTTTATTTTCTCTTTTGTTACCCTGGCTTGAGGAGATATTTTCAAAAAGATATTGTTAAGAGCAATGATCAAAGAGTTTATTGCCTGTGTTTTTCCTTCTAGGAATTTAATGGTTTCAGGTCTAACATTTAAGTTTTTTACCTATTTTGAGTTTATTTTTGTATATGGTGTAAGAAAGTGGTCTATTTGTCCAGTTTTTCCAACACCACTTACTGAAGTGATTGTCTTTACCCCCACTGTATATCCTTGCTGCCTTTGTCATAGATTGACCATATAAGTGAGGTTTTATTTCTGGATTCTCTAGTCCATTGTCCTGTCTTTTTTTATGCCAGTACCATACTGTGTAATTATTGTCGCTTTATAGTATAGTTTAATAATCAGGGAGCATGATAGCTCCCACTTTCTCAAGATTTCTTTGGTTATTTGGGGTGTTTTGTGGTTCCATATAAATTTTAGGAATAGGTGGTCTAATTTTGAGAAGAATGTCATTGGTATTTTAATAGGGATTCACTGAATCTGTATGTCACTTTTAGTAGTGAGGACATTATAATGATGTTAATCCTTTCATTTATTTGTGTCTTGTTCAGTGTCTTACAGTTTTCAGAGTATAGGACTTTCACCTCTTTGGTTAAATTTATTCCTAGGTATATTTCTCATGCAATTGTAAATGAACTATTTTCTTAATTTCTCCTTCTGATCATTTATTATTGGTGTATAGAAACAACAGATTTCTGTATGTGGATTCTGTATCGTGCAACTTTATTGAAGTCATTTATTCTAATAATTTTTTGGAAGGAGTTTTTAGGGTTTTCCATATATAGTATTATGTCATCTGACATAATTTTTAAAGGTGCATGTGAAACTAGGAAGACCAAGTGGAGTCTAGGTGGGCAGCAGTGGAGGTGGGGAGAACAGGGTCACGTGTGGTCAGCAGGGCTTGCTGATGAGTCAGATGTGGAGTATATAACCTAGATGCTTTTCAAAGGCCTAAGCAACTGAAAGAATGGAGTGCCGTAGGTTTTTGGAGGAAGAAATAAAGAATTGATGGTCTGAGATATTTAGTAGACATCTAAGTGGAACTGTTAAGTAGACAGTTGATATGAAAGGTGGTACCTTATTTTTAAAATCACTGGTTATAATCTTTCAGGAAGAACTAAATAGGAAACCAACAAATTCTAGTTTAGCAAAATATTCCTGATATGTAAATGTGTTTAGCGTAAGATTAATTCCATCTATTATAAGTATTTTCAGCATCTTCTGAGGCTCACTGATGAGACCTCACCTTTTGTGCCTCCACTTTAACTTTTGTCACTGCCCATTGATGAATCTTTGACCTTAAAACGTTTAACTTGAGCAGCAGGCCATTTTCAGTCACAGGACATTTTTGGGTTTGTCTTTCTCAGTTTGTGTACTAGTCTGGGTCACATAAGAAGAACCTCTAGTTCAGTGGTTCTCAACCTTCTGGCCCTTTAAATACAGTTCCTCATGTTGTGACCCAACCATAAAATTATTTTCATTGCTACTTCATAACTGTAATGTTGCGACTGTTATGAATCGTAATGTAAATATCTGATATGCAGGATGGTCTTAGGTGACTCCTGTGAAAGGGCCGTTCAACCGCCAAAGGGGTCGCGACCCACAGGTTGAGAACCACTGCTCTAGTTGTTCTGCAGGAACAGCATTTTTGTTCTTCAGCACCTGCGGCAGCTCTGCATTGTGTTAGACTCAAATCCAAGGGACTCCCGTGCCCTCCCGCCCCAGTTCCCGAACACCCTACACACACGTATTCTTTTCCTCATCGTGTCTTCAGGCCCACATCCGCCTCTCCTTAAAGCCATTCCTTATCCAACAATCTCCTTTTCTGATCACTTAATGTTGTCTATTTTTATATTTGATGATAGTTCATTTGGCTCTCTCCTGAGTCCGTCAGCAGAGCCCATGGGAAGATTTAGTGTGAGGTCTGGATGTCTGTCTTTTTGGTGAAATTATGTAACTGAACTTCCATTTCCTCATCTAGTAAAAAAGAAGTGATACTATCTGAACTGGTGAAAGTGCACTGTAAAATGTAGGGCATTATGAAGACGTAAGTTGTCAGAACAGATCAAAATTAGCTTCTCATAAGCACAAATACTGTCATTCCTCCCTTTCTAGCCCTTCAGTGTACAGTACATAATATTTATTTGATTGAATGAAATACAGATATGATAAATAAAGTCTTGATTTGCTCCTGTATCAGAGATAATTTATTGACTACTGCTTTCAACAGGCAACACTATGTATTTACACTCTTTAGCAAGAACAAGACACTAGATGACGGAGGGGGATTGGTTTCTTTGTTAGTTGTAGTACAGTCAGGGTTCTGCTGAGGAAGAAAAAGGCAGAGTCAGGTGGTTATATTGGCTTTTTTAGCACAATAGCTGTGGTCAGAGTGCCCATTTACTTTATTCTCCGCTTAATCCTCAACTCTGTGAAGCCTTTTGTAAGCTGTTCTCATTCAACACAGAAGTGATTGCTCCCATGGTCTTGAATGCATTCCTTTTTCAAGTTCTCTATAAGCTCCAGCCCTTCCCCTCCTTATCTGAAATCTTTGAGGGCAAAGAATATATATTTTTATATCCCAAGCCTCTAGCACTGTGGTAATGAATGAATCATACCTTCATGAGATTTGTTGGTTATAACAACTAGCCTTTTATGAAAAGAAAACTTTGCTGTTTGCAGCAGAGACTAAAGAATAAAAGTAGGTAGAGAGCATGCTCTGGAATTATTTCTACTTATTGTCTTAAATAGCCAAAATAAAGCTTAAAAAGAAGCAGTTGACGGTGCAGTATGAGAATTACGTTTCACCAGGCTGTCTGGGACACCTCAGCTCGTGCTATGGAAATTGAGTGAAAATGTTTGTGTCTTTCAGAAATCAGAGCCTCATGCTCTCAGTAACGACGCACTAATGAGGAGGGCTGTGTCTCTGGTAACAGATAGCACCTCCACCTTTCTCTCTCAGACCACGTACGCGTTGATTGAAGCCATCACAGAGTATACTAAGGTAAGCCTCGCTCATCTAGACCAGTGGTTAGCAACCTGGCTCACAGACCAAGCTGGTCTGGTGCCTGCTTTTGTGAGTTAACAGTTGCAATAGGCTATAGGGCTCACAAAGCCTAAAATACTTTCTCTTGCCCTGATCGAAAGCACTGGTTTTTAAAAGAAGAACCTTAAATATAGCAGCGGGAACCTTATAAGAACCTTGTAAGACAGGGGAACCAAGATGATTTGGTTCAGTTAGGGGTGAAAGGGCCCAAAGTCTACCACCAGCAGCACCAGGGGCTTCTCTGTGAGGACAGTTTGGAAACCATTGTTGTGAGCTAATAGAGTATATGGGTAATCAGAATCATTTAAAATTGTCATATCTTTATTTTCTAGTAGCTTTTTCCTGAGCCTTCTCAGCTCCCCTCTGCACTGTGCTCTCTTTCTATGTCTGAATTACTCACAAGCTTTTAAAAACACAAAAGTTGATAAGTGGAGCTCCCGCCCTGGAATAATGCCCCGACTTCCCACACCCTGCGTGTCAGGGAGGCCGAGGACCGAAGGCCAGTTTGCTGTAATGGGACTTTATCATCTGCAGGTGTGGGTCTCACTAATCCTACTTCATACGCCTCACTCGTTTCACTCAGACTTGTTTATTCTATTTGTAGGCTGTTTATACCTTAGTTTCTCTGTACCGACAATATACAAGTTTACTCGGGAAAATGAATTCACAGGAGGAAGATGAAGTGTGGCAGGTGATCATAGGAGCCAGAGTTGAGGTAAGCGAGGAGTCAGCATTTCTGTGTGCAGCTCCTGCCTCCTCGTGGTGGCTAACCAGTCCCTGTTCTCTAAACCTGCCATTTTGAATAAGTCCTTTAAATGTGCTTAAGCCCTTCATGTTTAATTTACAGATGACTTCAAAGCAGCAAGAGTACCTGAGGTTGGAGAGTACCTGGATGACCGCAGTTAGTCTTTCAGAGATGGCGGCAGAAGCTGCGTACCACACCGGTAGGTGCCATTGGCGTTCTCTTCTGGAGGTAAATGGTCTAGAGCCCATGTGGCTCTAACTTGGTGAGAAAAGGTCCCCGTCTTATTTGCACAATGGGCAAGACTAACACCCCTGGAGACCAAGCCAGTAGAAGCTAGATTGTCAGTATCTAGAAAATAAAATGGTAAAACTACTGCCAACTGGAAAATTGGACTGCCTTCAAATAAACATTTATTTTATAACCTAGATAATTTATGAATAATGTTTGTCCATTTCAGGCTTTGTGGTAAGCATTTTATAGATACTTTTAAACATCCACAGTTTCCTTAAAGTAGGACCTATTGTCATTCTCACCTCACAGGTGAAGAAATGGAAGGGTGGGGGGCGGCAGAGGGGTTAGCAACTCATCCAGGATGCTGTGGCACAAGCAGCCACACTGGGGTTTAGGCCCAGCGGTTGAGCATTGACCTATGAACCAGAAGGTATTACAGCCCAGGACCAGCTCTTATTAAGAAACTGCTGCCAAAGCCAGTTTGGCTCAGCGGATAGAGCGTTGGTCTGCGGACTGAAAGGTCCCAGGTTCGATTCCGGTCAAGGGCATGTACCTGGGTTGCAGGCACTTCCCCTGTGGGGGATGTGCAGGAGGCAGCTGATCGATGTTTCTCTCTCATCGATGTTTCTAACTATCTCTCTCCTTTCCTCTCTGTAAAAAATCAATAAAATATATATATATAAAAAAAGAAACTGCTATGTTAACTAAAACCTGTTTCTATTTCAGTATATCAGACTTGGGTCTCTAAATTTTTAAAAGGGTACAAAAAACTTTTTTTAAAAAAGTAAAAGCAATAAAGACTTCTTAGTTAACTAAAACCTGAGGAATCAGATTCTGAAGACAGGTCTGGTGTGGTAGTGGTAGTGGAGGTGGAGACTGGCTGAGGCACTGCAGCAGGACTCCCAGGCCACTCAGCCAGGCAGGCTTAAATCTAGCAGAGGAAACAGGAGAGGAAGTAAGCGTTATCTGAAAAAAATAGGCATTTCCCAGATTGAAGACTCTAAACAGATTCAGGATGTAAAAATCCTAAAAAGTATAAGAAAAAAGTAGATGTACTTACAAAGGAAGTATAATCAGACATCAGTCTTCTTATCAGCAACCCCAGATGCAAGGTGATAAACCAAATATCATTAAAATGTGAGCATGAAAGATATTTTCAGGCATAAAAAGACTCAAAGTTTACCAAACACGTGTTTTCTGGAAAAACTATTCTATGAAGAAAAATTACAAGCAACTGAAATACACGAATAATGAATAAAATTTAGTAAAACTTGTCAGAAGTTCTGAGTATTGAACAAATTTTTTAAAAATGAATAAATTTGGCCGAAACTGGTTTGGCTCAGTGGATGGAGCGTCGGCCTGCGGACTGGAAGGTCCCAGGTTCGATTCCAGTCGGGGGCATGTGCCTGGGTTGCGGGCGCATCCCCAGTGGGAGATGTGCGGGAGGCGGCTGGTCGATGTTTCTCTCTCATCGATGTTTCTGACTCTCTGTCTCTCTCCCTTCCTCTCTGTAAAAAGTCAATAAAATATGTTTTTTTAAAAAAATGAATAAATTTGGGGAAGTGAAAGCATGCTGAGCCTTCTTACCTTTTTTGGGAAGAAGAGGGACATTGGCTTAACATTAGACAGTGCTAAACACCGCAGAGAGAATGGGGGAAGGGACAGAAAAGCAGGCAGTTGAGAAGACATGAAACCTATTGGAAAAGGCAACGCAAAACAGAGGAACAACATCAAACATCAGTCATCACAATAAGAACATTAAATTTAGCCGAAACCGGTTTGGCTCAGTGGATAGAGCGTCAGCCTGCGGACTGAGAGGTCCCAGGTTCGATCCCGGCCAAGGGCATGTACCTGGGTTGCGGGCACATCCCCAGTGGGAGAT